ACCCGGCGTGCTCCGTCCCGGCTTTGTAGGGATGCGAGGTCAATGGTCTAACGACTACGGCATGCACGACTATGAGTACCCCCCCCCCCCCCACGTGTTTTTTGTTTAGATTGCGGCTCTGGGAGGTAGAGACGGGGCGCAACACCATGACCAACTACCTCCAGACGAAGAACAAACGGAGAAGGCCCTTCGGCATGGCCGTCGGGAGGCCGGCAGGGCGTCGGTCAGAAACGGTGAGACCCTATGGCCTCCTGCGTCGCGGACGGTTACAACATGTACCGTAAGAGGCGGAGGGATGGTACCCCCCCTATGCCGGCTTTCAAAGCTCGATTGCTCCACAGCCAAGATTGTCTGTACCGTACCGTATACCGTGCCGTGGTATTCCGTAAGATGCGGAGGGATGGCACCCCCCCTAGGCCGGCTTTCAAAGCTCGATTGCTCCACAGCCAAGATTGTCTGTACCGTACCGTATACCGTGCCGTGGTATTCCGTAAGATGCGGAGGGATGGCACCCCCCCTAGGCCGGCTTTCAAAGCTCGATTGCTCCACAGCCAAGATTGTCTGTACCGTACCGTATACCGTGCCGTGGTATTCCGTAAGATGCGGAGGGATGGCACCCCCCCTAGGCCGGCTTTCAAAGCTCGATTGCTCCACAGCCAAGATTGTCTGTACCGTACCGTATACCGTGCCGTGGTATTCCGTAAGATGCGGAGGGATGGCACCCCCCCTAGGCCGGCTTTCAAAGCTCGATTGCTCCACAGCCAAGATGGTGCCACCACCAAAAAAATGGCAGTTTTGGAAGCATGTCGTCGAGGGCGCTCCGCACACGTATCGGGCTCTCTTCGCACCCACTTGGTTGTGGAGAAATCGACCTTTGAAAGACGGTCTACGGGGGGTGCAATCTCTCCGCCTCCTGCGGTATTTTCGCGTTGATGATATGAACCCCGAACACTGCTTGCTCCTTGCAGTATCAAACAATCATCAATCAGTTGCGGGGCTTCCGCCTGTAGGCCTATGCCTATGAATGTTGAGTCCAAGCATGTTTTTTTCACAAACCTCTTAGTCGGCATTCCTCCTTGTTGATACGTACGTTTGGTGTGCTGCTTCAGTCGTGATGCCGATGTGTCCCGGTTAAGCGGTTCCCTGTTTCGCAGGATGCCCTGAATAGCGGTCCCAACATCTTGTGGCACGGATGCACCTCGGTGGTCAAACTGCTGTAATACTTTGCTGCTGCTAGGCCTGTCCTCCATCGGCCGTTTTGCTTGTATGACGGAGAATAAGAAGGTGGAATTACTTGAAATTAGTATAGAAATAAAGTTTGTGTATCTAAATCGAAAATAAAACGGCCGATGGAGGACAGGCCTAGCTGCTGCCAATTCGGTACAGCGACTATTCCCTCAATAGCGGTTTTAACATGTTGTGACACTTTTTTTTTTTTTGTCTCCCATCATTGGACTCTGTCCTCTACCCCTCTGGCCCCTATCCTCCACTTCTACCAGCTAGACGACCCAACCGGGGTCACATATGAGGGGGAGGTTGGACCCCTTCCTGCACTGTGGACCGCTAAACCGGGACCACGAGTGTGTGTAGTAGTGAGATTTGTGTGATACTTCGGCCCCCCTCGTACTCCGTATGGCATTTTTCACTTATCTCTCTCTCTCTCTCTCTTTCTGTTCTTTGGGCGTGGCTAAAAGTACGGGTGGAGTTGGATACGCGCATAGCGGCACTACATGTCGAGGGCCATCCATCCCACCGCGGCTCTACTCCACACGATCTCTCTCGTCATGAGAATGATTATGATCGTCATCTCCGCAACGCCAACCGGTCTACTCAGCTTGCCGGCTGGTTAGTTACTCCGCTTCCTTTTTGTTCCCGCTCGCAGGCGTTTTTCCCGAATGACAAGAGCGGGGACGTCCTCGTATTCCCGCTTCACACTCCGGATGGACGCCCGAAGGGGTGAGAACGCCTCTATGCATTTTTTGGCTGGGAGAGAGTTGCCAACGAAACGGTCGTCTCCTATCTTGCAGCTAGCGCCCGCACTTAGGAACCTCTAATTTTTGTGGGCGAGGGGGGGATGTTGGTTCCTCGTGGGGGCTACAAATGCCAGCAATATAGGTTTAACTTGTAGGGTATAGCGCCCGTGCTAACCTTAGCCTAGCCCTAACCTTAACCCCAAACTTCAGAACCTCTTCTAGATTTGCCAGAGGCTGGGGTTCTTGTGCAGTAGTTCCTGGGGTCATGCTGCGAATGACCGTCATGTAGTTTTTTTTGTCGGGGTTCTTGACGGAGCTCTCAGATGGTGCTCAAGTTCTACGATTTTTCGAGTTTTTCGGGTTTATATCAATCTCTCCACTGATAAGTTCTCAAGGGCGGGTGCTAGCCGTATTTCCCGGAAACAAGTTGCTCAATATGGCCCGCTTGTATTATCCGGGAGAAACAGACGCAAAGGTGGTCGCCTGCTGTTTGTTGTTTGGAGCAATCTGCACAGAATGGCTGCCTTTTGCCTACTGTCTAGAAGAAAATTGCGCCAAACGGTCGCTTGTAGGCCGAAGGTACTAGAGTGCACACCATTGTCGTCTCCCTGCTGCCGGCAGGGAGCAGCTTGTGAACTGCCTCTTTCTTGCTGTCGGGGAGCATTTCCTACGGAAACATGTACCTACCCGATGAAGATACTTCGACTTCACATCTAGGGTCAACTTCTTGTTTCGTCGCCACCACTGGAGTTTAGCATAAGTACCACCGCTGACCGCTGTTGGGGATAATGCCAATTGCTGGGGTCCCTATGCTATTTTCAAGTGCTTCATCATGTCAACCTTGTCTCTTATTTTGTCATGGAAAGTTAAGCCTCTTTTTCTTAAAAAAGGAATGTTTCTTGAGTGCGGGCGCGAAGTGTAGTAGTAATCCAATCATTCGAGATCGTCGTCTGCGTGTACACAAGCTGTCTGTTGAAAATTGTTTTCAGGCCTTCAATACGTGACTCTTACTCTCGAGTGAAGCAAAGCAGAAAAGAACCACAGTTCGAAAAAGCAACGGCTAGGATTTATTTTTCTCGTTGTTTCAGCGCCAACAACTTCAAATGCTGAACAGCCAAGAGAGTCCCCAACGGAAACGGAATATCTGTCCGCATTCCCGCCGTAACCTTTCTTCCCCCCTACTTAACATCGAACTCCACGGTACGAACGCTTCTTGTTCTCACGACGAGCGCCAACCTTCGCACACCGTATTCTCGACCGCCAACCCGAGGACGTTGTCTGTTCTCACGACCTTCATGCAGAACGTCTTGATATATCCGCTCCCCCCAGGAAGATGTGGATGTGGGAAGGGATTAGTGGAATGATAAAAAAGACCGCGCAAGGGGGGGATACAGGGGTAGCAACTTTGCGAGGTGTGAACGGTGGATTAGTCAGCAGTGGGAAGGGAAAAAGGAAAGTTCTAGCAGGACACTACAAGAGACTTGGAGTGCCCTCGGAGAATGATGCTTTTGACCAAGTGTTTAAGATGGAGGTGGACGCATGGGCCGAGAACGAAGAAGAGTCATCGAAGGCAGACGTTGGGAACGTAGAACTAGAAAAGGAGTTCACTGAGGACGAGGTTGAGGCGTGTGTGAACAAGCTGAAGTGCCACAAAGCAGCAGGAGCGGATGGGATAGTCAACGAGTTCATGAAGTTTGGGGGGAAGGGGATGATCCAGCTGATGG